TTCCTGAGAATAACAATGTTTTAAGTCCCGTTAAACCTTGAAGCTTTACCGTAGGATATATAAATCCATTATCAGTGAGATCAAGGTATTCTAAATTTTCATAACTAACAATAGATATATTAATATTTAACCTAGCTCGATCTATTGAATTCCTTATGCGTAAATATTTTATTGATCTGGATCCATAAAATATAATACCTCTTAATTTCGTGTCGTTTTTATTTATGAATATCATTTTTCCTCTTTCTCTCTATGTTAATGTCATTCTGTGTTATATTGTAATTATTTTTAGAAATAATAACAGGTTGGTTTTGCTGTGACTTTAACTGGTGTAAACGTTTTTTTTTCAGACACATAGTTGTCGGGTATTTTAAACTTACTTGATCCTGTTGTTTCTTCTAAAGCACCATTAAAATACACATTCTCTAAGTTTCTTAAAGTAAGTAATCTAAAAATGCTAATTTACTTCCCATCCACCGATTTTCAGACAGGTCCAAATATTCTAGACACGAATGCCAAGTTTCACTGATTAAAGCGTTTTGTTCCAAAATGAAGAGAAAAGACTGGACAAATTCAAATCTACGGACACAAACTTGTAGAAGGTACTTCGTTTTATCTAAATCGAGCACACCGTCGTTCATTAAGTTACTAGATATGTCTTCAAGGGGATAACCAATTCTAAAAAAAATTGATCATAGACATATTCCTTCCTACTAACGATTGAAGAATTTGTAGGGCTTGTTTTTTTGCCACAAATTTACTACATGTGAAAGTAAACCTGTCTAACAAAGGCAAATAGGCTAAGGCCATATTGCTAAAATTAGACAAGGAGCTCCTGCCCTCTATTGTTAATTCCGTCAAATGATTTAAATTTTTAAACGTGCTTTCAGAAATAGAATTCGAACAAACGCTCAGAAAAATGTTTGTGAGTTTACCTAGTTGTTTAAACTCTGGCCCAAAGTTGACCGTTTCTCCTACACTGTCTATAGACAGAGTGGTCAGATTTTTTATGGACAAAGAAAACATGAGGGGTATTCACTCTTGGTGCAGTCTTGATCTCGTTTCAGATAGAGTTCCTTTAAATTAATGAGTGGAGAAAATATGCCGTTTGGATAGCTGTTGTTATCAAACTCCAGAGCATTATACCCAAGGTTTAGGACTTCCAAATTCTTAAGACCAGAAAATGCATTTGTATGCATCTTGTATATTTTATTATATCTAACACTTAACAAACGTAACGGGGCTAAGTTTTTAAACGTATCGTTTTCTAATTCAGTCAAAAGATTGTAATCCAAGAAAATAGCGGTGGTATTTAGAGGAAACCAACTTGAATTAACACGATCCAATGAAAGACTTGTACAGTTTATGGTGACGTCCAGTATGCTATTTGTCTGCTGACAGGGTGTGTTCGTCACTTTGAACGTAGGACCTGTACTGTCGTGGTACGTCTGAAACTGTCTGATACTTTCTGATTGTAGCTCTCTAACACAGAAGAGGCAGAATAGAATCACCACAGCAACCGTACCTTTCATCATGGGCGTTTTATTGTTGTGAACGTATCTGTTTAAAAAATAATTTGTAATGATATTATTTGCAGTTACGCAGGTAGCGCGTAGTTGTGTGTGCTTGTTGACGGAAGGGTTGAGGGAGTTTAATCATGGATCACAATATGATACCTATCGTACTTATGTGTGGTTTACAATATTTTTAAAAAATTTGGGCTTATAGTTAAGCTGAAAAAAGAGGTTAACCAAAAACTTCTCTAAAAACAAAAGATTTATATTAATAACTAGCATATTTTGTGCACGATGATTCTAAAGACAATAAACGAAACATATATCCGAGAGATAAATACTGGAATAATATTATGAAAACAATAAACCTTATAAACATTATGTTTTATTCTGAGAAAGCTTTCGATTGCATATTACAGATATATTTAAGTAGAGAGTAACCAGACAAGGATGTATTCTGTTCTTACTGCTTTTAGACCGTATAATTGAGAGATAACACAACCTACAGAAAAATCAAGATAGACACTAGCTACCAGTCTAGTGGACGCAGTTGACTGCTATCCCCTAAGTCTCGAGTACACCTAGCTCCGATGGGTACCTAACTCACATTAAGTAAAGACAGCTGGGCATAGTACTGACCACAGTATCACTTCATATGCCGAGGTCATAGAAACAAGTGAACTTTACTTCCCTTGCTCCATACATCGTCAGATTTGAAAGGGAACTTTACTTTTACTTTAGCAACTATAATCTACTGAATATACTGCTAGTAATAATAAACTATAAAAAAACTAAACGGAATTTTGGAACTGACCAGAAGGTTGACAAAGACATACAATCACATGTGTCTGACGACCGCGTTATGCGTCCTGCTTACTGACGGGAACGACGGTGTGTACTTTTAAAATAGTATTTTAAACGTTTTTGAGTGTTTAATTATTATGCTTTTGAATACAAGACATTATGCATTTTGAAGAGGGCATAAAATTAACTAACAATTACCACTAAAAATATAAAAGCCATATTTAGTGTCTGCTTATTAAATATCTATAATCCAAAAAATGACATTCACGTAGGCCTACCTGTTTAAAATTTAAGACCACTGTTATTTTTTTAAATTAACCAATGCTAAATGACTTAGATAACTACAATGTGTGGTCAAACAGCAATGTGTGGTCAGTTTGCGACTGAGATTTTCTCTCCAGAAGTAGCAGGCAAATGATCAGCCAGTTGTTTGTAAACTCCTTTGTTCATAATGACAGGTTGTCCGAGGTTGTCTAAGTACACGTCACGGTCTACTACACCGTCGTTTAAAGAATGCAAATTGTTAACTAGGCACCTGGTAGACGTTGCTCTAGCTGTGCTGTTTACAAAACTTACGCAACATGCTGTAACTGATCTATCCACAGTTTTAAAGAAACCACCCTGCTGTATTCATTCTGTTTATCAACGTGTAAAAACGAAAAATATCAATTGATCCTCACGACAGCGACCAATGTAAATTATGCAATGTTTTTTTAAAATTTATAGCATTGTTTTAAATAGGACTCTGAAGCAATGGCGTCATTAGGTCAAATTTCAACTAGCGAGGTAGATTATGTGTCAACCCCTGACACACAGAACCTAAAAGTTTGAATGGCCCACTGGGGTTTCTTTGTCTAGTCCAGGATCTCTGCCTACAGGGGCAAGAAGGTGAAGTGCACATGAAGATAAATAGCTTCTCCTTTTATAACAGAATAAGATAAAATCGGTAGGCCTATATCTATCAACAGCTAACATAATATATATATATATATATATATATATATATATATATATATATATATATATATATACATTAATATTGTATAATCATATAGTAGAAACATAATTGTTTATCTGTAAAACAATCTTTTTGCTGTACTCTACCTTCATCTGTCCGGTTTTCATCCCGACTCCTAAATCTACCGCAAAGATCCAAGAAAATGTAAAATTAACCCTTGTCAGACAGGTAAATAAGATAATTCTACTATTGATTTCATTATTACAGAAACTCACAGTTATTTTGTAATTGTCCAGGCATAGTATTTGGCAAAGCAAAAAATAATAGTGAATTGAGATGTTAGATTACACGATCAAGCAATGTTGTAAGTCAGACCAAGTATTTGGTTGTTTTTTATCGATGTGCCGATGTTCATCGCGTTTGATCGAATACATGAAAGCATGTGTTGAGAAGCATCGATGTCTGTAAGAAATAAATAAATGTGACGAGAAATAACATCTTAGTTGTGATCTCCACGTTTAACTCATGTCAATGTCTTTAAGACCACACTGTGAGTGCGCTCTTTGTACCAACCGTGTAGGGTCACACTAACATAAATTGTTTGAGTGTTTGAGGTTAAATTCAATTTTTTAAATCATCTATTTATCTGCACATAGTAACAACAAGCTACTTCTCACTGCCAACCGTGATTTCCAACGCCATCCGTATTCCTCGTTACACAACTCCGTCCTACCGCGCACAACACACCTGCTGTCACTTGAACAGTCGCTTCCCTTGTTACCCTTGTTAAGCTACGTACAACAACATACACGTCAACACACCCGGCCTCGCGCAATACTACCGTATTCACATACACTCTGTGATCCGTCCCACGTAGACAGCTTTAACACTGATCACATCACCAGACACACCATGACATGAAAAGCTCTTATTGATGTGAAGAAGGCAACAATACAATACTTTACTTGATATTTATTTGAGCTCCTGGTAAGATGCTACATTTTAATGTTTTGCATTGCCAACATGTTGAAGTTTAAAAACAAAATGTAACATCATCTTTATCCAAATCTCTTATTTTCAACATATTATGTAGCTTTTAAAACTAGAACAATTTTACTGGCAGAATACTGTTTTCCTAATCCTCGATCGAGTTTATTATGTTTCAGATAGAATACACACTGAGTTTCTTTCCGACACATTTCAGGGGGTGGGGGTGGGGCTTTGGGGTGGGGGTGAGAGGACTGATAAAAGTATATAATTTTATATAATTTATATAAAATATGTAATAATAATATTAGAAATAATAAGAAAATAATAATAATGACAATATAATAATAATAATAATAATAAAAGTAATAAAAATATAATAAGAATAATTTTAATAAAAATAAGAATATGATAATAATGATAACATACTACCACTACTACTTCTACTAATACTACTACTTCTACTATTACTACTACTACTACTAAAAATAATAATAATAAGAAGAAGAAGAAGAAGAATAAGAATAGTATTATAATGATAATAGTAATAATAATGTTCATAATAATAATAATGATTATAATTACAATTATAATTATTGTAAGAAAATATGTCAGATAAGTTCAAATGAGCTGATTCATGAAACATTTTGTATAGAAAAGCTGTTTTAGTATATATTATTTTTTCCTCACACGAAGAATATAATATTTTAAGGAATAATCTAGACTATTGGTAAGCCAGTCACCAGTCTTATGTCCTTTGTTTGGTAGGTTAAAAGAGGATGATGTATTGTTATGTAGCTGCCACTCCATAAGATAGAAGCATAACCTCACAGACTATATGAAAGCTTAGTAAAAATCAAGTGCTCTGATAATAGACAAAATTGTTTATCCTATCTAATTAAAACGTAGCCTTTAATAAGGACATTTTTAGAGTATGCATATGTTTGCACAAGGTAAGGTTGTGATCTATTATCAGCCCCATTCTTTTATAGCTGGTAACCTGTTCGCGTATTTTATTTTCTATAGTAATATGTAATGAAGTAGATGGAAGATCTTGACGTTCCTGATGTGTAGTAATGAGCATTGTTTTATTGGAGTGAAGTTGCGTTTTGTTTATTCTTGTACAGTTGACAAGTTGGCGTTCATTCTTTGTAGCTGGCACTAAAATGGTTGAATGCAGTTCACAAAAACATGCAAAGAATTATCGTCAGCAAACATTTCCCACTGACCAACCTCAATATGCTATGGAAGATCATTTATTATTTATGAATAAAAGAGGAATGGACCTAAGATAAAGTTATGGGGTACCCTTATGTTGACATACTTCATAGAAGAGATGATAAGAATGTGAAATAAGAGATATCATGAGAGACCAAGCTTTTATTAAAGAAAATGTTGAAGTTGATCATAAAACTGTGGTCATACAGAAAGACTTCATTCACGCAAAAATAATTCGAAATTGCGCTAATTTCTGCACAAAACAGTGTACTTCCATTTCTTAGTAGACTTTTAAAGCAGAGAGGAAATAAATTAAAATTTTAAAACAGCAACGCTGTGAACCTTTAATAGTCGCTTCCAAAAAATGTATACTATGCACAAAAGACAATACGTTTTTTCACACATTTATCCATCACATTTAAACCAGAAAATATGGGGAATTATAATTTCAAAGCTTTAGTTATCATGTATTTGTTATTATGAACTTTCGAACACAGATTTAATGACAAGTTTTAGTATACTATATTGCATTAATAATCCTATTTTATCCTAAAAAATTAATGTCACATTTTAATATACATAGTCTTCCTGTTACTGATCACACATCAACAATCAATAAAAATTCTATCATACAAAAACTCATCCATATTTGGTGTCATCTGCCATAATGGAACTTCGAGGATATTATCTTCCCCAATCGCGTTAATTAAATCCACATTTAGCTGTACGTTTCTTTCATAAAGCAGAAGCACCTTTCCCGGGTTGTCATGTGACATACTGTTCAACACCAGGGTGTAGAGCAACTGGAAATTATTGTCGTGAAAAAACTCAACAGTTACAACTAGAATTACACGCCAGGTGACGTTGATCTCAGCAAACAAATCTTCATATTCTGGACGTCCTGGCTCAAGATCTCTGGAGTCTCGAGTGTTCAGAAAAAAAGTTTGCTTTAAGTAGTTGCCTAAAACTGTAACAAAATTTTCGTTGGGAGATGAAACTATAAATACGTGGTTTTGAAAATCTGTTAATCTCCTACGTGGTACAGTGCCAAGTATTTGAGCAACATAAGCTACAATGTATAGCTTACACCGCATGACGACAAAAGACAACAAAAATATTATAGCGATGACGCACAAAATAACAACAGAGAAATAAAGATATTGCTGACCCATACACTGACGCCAAAACGTACCAATATTCAAATGTTTATCTAGATGAGAATACAAACCAGATTCGTTGACACACAACAAATTAGAATCAAAATCTATTTCTACATTTGTTGTAAGAATCCACTTGACGAAAAAGAAATTCACACAGGCACATAATAAATCGTTTCCTGCTAAGCGCAGTATGAATTTTCCATTTTTCTGAGCCAATTCATCAAGTCCAAATGTTATGTCTTCCTCAAATGTCGAAATAGCATTTTCCCTAAGGTCAAGTACACGCAAGTTTGGTGTCAGCTTAAGATTGAAAGGAATTTCAGTAAACCTGTTGGTTACCAGATAAAGTTCTGTCAGGTTAGGGTTAGTAGAAAAAGTGTTTGGTGCGAGAAAACTCAGAGAATTTAAAGATAAATCTAGACGCTTCAGCGATTTTAAATTCAGAAAAATTCTTGAGCTGTTAGATTGAAAACTATTTAAGTCAAATTTAGAATTTGCCAAAGCTAAATTTTCGACATTTGGGACTGAATCTAAAAATGTTGGAGAAAAATCTGATAATTGGTTTCCTGAAGCTAATATTGTTTTAAGTTTTGTTAAACCTTCAAATTTTCCTGAAGCGGCCTTAAATCCGTTATCAGTGAAATCAAGGTATTCTAGATTTTCCATCCCAACAAACGAGATATTAATATTTAATCTAGCGCTGTCAATCGATTTTCTGACGTTAAGATATTTCAATGATTTTGATCCATAAAATATAAGACCTTTAAATTTCGTCTTGTTTTTTCTCTTAACATCCGTTTCATAACAAATTATATTTTCCGTTTCCTTGGACTTTAACTGGTGTAGATGTTTATTTTCAGAAAGATAGTAGTCAGATATTTCAAACTTACGTGGTGTGGTAGGTCCGTAGAAATTTCTATCGACGTAGATATTCTCTAACCTTCTCAAAGTGAATAATCTAATAAACGCTATGTTATTTCCAATCCACATATTATGAGATAAGTTCAAATATTCTAAACACGAACTCCATGTTGTACTAATTAAAGCATTCTGATCAAGAATAATTAGATTGGAATAACTGAACTCAAAACTACGGACACAAATTTGGATTAGATACTTCGTTTTATCTAAATCAAGCACACATTCTTGCAATGTATAACTAGAATATTTTGAATGGGAACCTAAAATAACTCTTAAAAATCTGATCGAAGTCATATTTCTTCCTACTAGTGGTTTGAGGCTATGTAAGGCTTCTTTTTTTCGTAAATTTGTAGACATGAGCGTAAAGCTATCTAACAAAGGTAAATAGGCGAGGGCCGTATTGCTAAAATTAGAAAAGGTATCCGAGCCATCTATTGTTAAGTCCGTTAAATGATTTAAATTTTTAAACGCGCTTTCAGAAATAGAATTGGAACAAACATTCAAAACAAAATGTGTGAGTTTACCAAGTTTTTTAAACTCTGGTCCTAAGTTGACCGTTTCTCCTATACTGTCTATAGACAGAGTGGTCAAATTTGTTAGTGGACAAAGAAAACATGAAGGGTATTCACTCTTGATGTAATTTGTGTCTTGTCTCAGATAGAGTTCCTTTAAGTTAATGAGTACAGAAAATATGCCGTCTGGATAGCTGTTGTTATCAAACTCCAGAGCATTATACTCTAGGTTTAGGACTTCCAGATTCGTAAGGCCAGAAAATGCATTTGTATGTATCTTGTATATTTTATTATACCTTATACTTAAAAAACGTAACTGTGTTAAGTTTTTAAACGTTTCGTTTTTTATTTCAGTCAAAAGATTGTAATCCAAGTAAATAACGGTTGTATTTAGAGGAAACCAACTTGAATTAACACGATCCAATGAAACCCGGGTACAGTTTATGATGACGTCCAGTATGTTATTTGTTTGCTGACAGGGTGTGTTTGTCAATTTGAACGTTGGACCTGTACTGTCGTGGTACGTCTGAAACTGTCTGGTACTTTCTGCTTGTAGCTCTCTTACACAGAAGAGCACAAATAGTATCAATGTTGCAAACATTTGATTCATCCTGGTGGTTTATTCCCGTCTAGAAATCTGTTTCAATAAAAAATAAAGTATTTCTCATTTTATTAATACCAACCGCGTTGGCTGCGCGCTGAGAGTGTTTTTCGAAAGGGTTAAAGGAAATTAGAACTTTTAAATTTTCATTTATATGAGACAATGCGTTCGTGTTGGATTCAATTTTAACATTAAATTATACACACACACACACACACACACACACACACACATATATATATATATATATATATATATATATATATATATATATATATATATATATATATATATATATATATATATATATATATATATATATATATAATAGTCAGAGTTTCTTCCAGGCGTCTCTTCGGGGGGGGGGGGGGGGGGGGTCGAAGAAAATCTTCTTCCCCCCGAAAGAAATGGAATTTTTATAGAAACCATATACTTTTACCGGCGTCCGCCCCCCCCCCCCCCCTCCCCCTCGTTGAAAAAAGTTTGGAAGAAACACTGATGATAGGCTTTCGTGGTTGGGCCTGTAAATCATGGAAGCATATTCAGAAAGAACAGCAGGCTGAAATCGGAGTCGACTGTGTATAAAGCGCAAAACGTGATGAGATTTGGGATTCTGGAGCAAATCTCGTGCAACACTACAATTAAGATGTGTAATATTACGTCAGATAAAAAAATTACCGGTTCAACACGTGAAAGCTTACACGGCGTCTTCACAGCGAGAAATAACTGATTAAATGAACGAGTTTTTAAAGTAAAATCTCACCTATGGCATACAGAATGTCTAATATCAATCAGTCTTACATTGTGTGGCTTTTCTTCTGTCCCCAGACATTCTAATAGCGATAACAACGAATCATTTAGAAACAGTTTCACTTTCTGGACTCGTTAGTTGACTAGTGACTGATCGTTACAGGAACGTCAACTACCTAGAAAGTTTTATTGAACCGCAGTGTAGAAGTGAAAACATGTTAAGGAACGGTCCCGGATAGGCGTTGCTCTAGCTGTATTCTTTTGAACAGTTGGCAACATGTCGCAACTGATTTATCAACACTTTTCACCAAGCGACGCGACGATTATCATTCAGCGCATTGAACTGTACAAGTGTAAGGGCGATTTACGATTTTCCTAGTCGTTAGTGTCGGTAAACGATTTCTTGTTTTGTATTACGTTCTGTCTTCTAGTACTACCCCCTCCCTTACCACAACACCCATATAACTCGATATGTTATAGCGGATAAAAAGCGTAGTCGTTCGAAGACACCGAAAAAAGAAATTGACTGAAAGGCAACTTTACATTAGAAGGGGGGGGGGGGCTGAGGGGTGTAGATTTTCTGATATCTAATATACTCAGATCTCAGGATAACTATGGATGTATATTTAGCACCCCACCTCTCCCCCAATTCGTTAATAAATACAGTTAACCAAAGTCAAGGCCAAATCTTCCTGTTCATATTAATAGGATTTACTCATTTTTCTGTATAATAGTTTTCCTGGTACTAATGTAATAAAACAAATACACCCACCTTATGTTTGCCGAACGTTTTGACATTACGTCGAAGGTGCCATTTCAGCACAAATATAATCAAGTTGTAAGCAGGAATGTAATTAAGTTACCACATTGTATACTGGCTGTCGTATCACGTGTATAATATTTTAGAACAGGGCCGACCCATTTTAAAAGCCATCAAATTATATCTTCATTTACCATGTTTTCTGAAATCATTCCAAATATTATACCTAGTAAAACAGACTTTAAAGTATATAGACCTGTGTCATATAATTTTTCTCAATGTTAGCTTAATATACATTTCAAGCCTAATAAAGTAATGGAACTGTCGTTTGCTGAAAGGGTTTCTGGGAGATACACAACTCCAGGGGCGGAACTACCGTGCCGTCAGACCCTGCAATGCGGGGGCGGGGGGGGGCACGCCATTTAGGGGCCCACAGCCGACCCTAATAATTATATATATAGGCATATATATATATATATATATATATATATATATATATATATATATATATATATATAAATGGGGGGGGGGGTCTAAATTTTTTTTTGCGGGGTGGCCCTTTTTCTCTAGTTCCGCCACTGCTCCACTCTCTTCGTTCCCCTACGCCTCCGATTGGATATGTAAACACCCTAAAATAAAAGCTTTAGTCTATTTTAGTAATTGGATAATGTGTGTGTAAAGGGGGTGGGGGGGTTAATCACGTTATATCAGCATAAAATGATCAAATAATCTACACTACAACCGCCTATCAAAAATAATAATTATTTTATTGACTCTTACCAGAGCCTTGTAAAGTAAATCTAATCACAGGTTAATATTTGGTATGCTTCTGTATGTTTTAAAACAAAAATACATTGCTGTATTAATTTAATTAATTTTGCTTTATTTTAAAGCGTGAATTTCCAACAAGAAATTTTTTTTTAATGGACCACTAGCCGGATAAGCCTACAGACATTTGTTATTGCTTTCTTATTGGAATAATGTTAATAGCAGCATAACATTTCCTTTTACATCTGATTGCTATAATGATCCAGTTACAACAGCCGCCCCCCCCCCCCGGATTATTATCCCAAGGTTAACCCCCCCCCCCGGATTATTATCGCAAGGTTAAACCTACACGATCACCTGATATGTCAATCATTTACCTTGACCTACTTAACCAGACACCGCGACCAGAGCTATATTTAACTTTTTTTAGTTGTTCACGTAAAATTAGCTCGACTACTTAAGCTGAATTCAACACAATTGAATTCTAGACCTATCTAGTTAGCTAATCTGTATTTTCAAACCTCCTTTTTCAATTCATATTTTGTAACTTTTGAATTTCAAGCCTGTTCGTAACCCCCAAACGCATAATACGTTTTCGTAGCGGCATTGAGTGGCTAGATCACCGAGTGGAATGTAGTATTTTCCCAGGAAGTACACGAATCATGTGACCTCTACGATGTCACGGTTCAGTAGTTGTAAGGATTTAACAACTTTCTGCGAGGTCGCTTTGGTTTTTTTTATTTGAGGTGCGGGCCACGTGTTACGATAAGCCACAGAAAACCAGGTGGGTACAATAGGGTGACTATATCGGTTGACACACGGTGCGATTACTCAGGGTATGGCCCCCGAAAGAACACATGATATATAAGGTGTACACACATTCTAGGTAATAAGGTACTGTCTTCAAGCAGGTTTTAGCGCAATTTCCATACTGGCAATTGCGTTTAATAATGCGTCATTTCTGGATGGATGGATGGATGTGTGGATGTGTGGATGTGTGTCCGCAGCTTTAAGTCGTATCTCCTCCTCAACGAAGCAATATCGAGGACTAGTTTCAAAGCAAATATGTTAAGCAAGTTCCGAGGATGATTGTGGGCCAAAAAAATTCCCGGAATTCCTTTCTGGATTTCCCGGAAAAGCCAAAAAACCTCGAAAAAATGCAGTTTTTGGCCCATATCTCGGCAACCAGACCACTTAGCGACTTGAAACATTTACCAATCGATTCCTGCCATAATTAAGAACAATATTGCCGAAGAAAGTTTTCAAAAATATCCTTTCGTTTGGTCAAAAAAAAAAATTAAAAATTACATAACAACACATACAAGCCGATCGTTCTCCTAGCTTGATCGCACTTAAATTGTCACTAGACTTTTTATTAGCTTGTTTTGCTTAAAGATCTCTATAGCCTGAATAAACGAATTACCCATTAGTTATCTTTCATTTGCATCACTTGTCTGGTGAGGCACCCCGTCAAAAGAGCGCACGACAAAAGAGCGCCGACATAAGAGCGCAGACAAAAGAGCGCCGACATAAGAGCGCCGACATAAGAGCGCACTAATTTCCCGACAAAAGAGCGCCGACATAAGAGCGCAAACTAAAAATAGAAAAACCATATTTAATACATAGGAACAAGAAAATTAACTCAGATCAGAAGGCATCGTTCGATGTTAACTCTTTATTGTTTCATAAAAAAGTTAATTGTTCAGTTTCTTTAACTAAAAAACTGGTAAAAATCAACGTGAAGTCCAATTATTCAAAACGCAATCTAAATAACACATACACAGATTTTAAATGTTAGGCCTAAAACGAGAATATAAACTGAAATGAAATGTAACAAAATGAAAATAAGTTCAAATTAATAAAACGTTTCTTTATAGTTGCATTTATATTGCTAATTTGTTTGCTATACCTCGTAGGTAGTCCATCATTGAATCAATAGCATAGGTTGAAGCAATTTTTATCGACACTCCAAATTGCAAGAGCGAAACGCGGGTCACCTCGACGGTTTTCCTATGCTCCCTATGTAAGTATCCTCCCAATAATCTACCAGTGGCATAATTTCTGCAGGACTAGCTCGGCAGCCATCTTTCTTGCAGCATCTCCATGTCCTACTTCAATCAGCATTTGCTTTGTACTTTCGATATCTGTAGCCTTCGATCAATATAATAACCTTCTTTCTGAGATTCGATCGTCTCCATGTTATTTGGGTTAGAAATATTTTCAAACTGCATTCATAACATGATAACCATAATATATAAATCAACACATGTCGTTTTATCGCTCCGCCGATTGTTTAATTAAAACAAGTGTTAACCATGTCATATTCGTTTAGCGTACAAGATGTATTTTTTTAATTTACTGCGCTCTTATGTCGGCGCTCTTTTGTCTGCGCTCTTTTGTCGGCGCTCTTATGTCGGCGCTCTTTTGTCTGCGCTCTTATGTCGGCGCTCTTTTGTCGTGCGCTCTTTTGACGGGTCACCGTCTGGTGATGTTGTTCGATGGTTTGCGCAAGATTTGGGCAATCCATCACTATTTGATTTTCTTGTATTTCTTTGCCACAAGGGTTATGCTTGTTTTTTTTTCTTTTACTACACAAAGCAGAGTAAATAATTCTTCTCCTTTGATTTTCTTTTTATTTCTTGAGAAGAAAAGGGCGATAGGACACATCGGGGACAAGTATGATTTGCGGCTAAATGTTTTAAACTCAACTCATATTAAACCAACCTGCCTTAAAGCACAAATTTTGGTT